TCAGTGGGAATCCCCATTGCTGTTGCCATCAGAAGGTTCACTGTTTGACAGTCCTCTTCCATGGCTTTCTGAAAAAGGAGAGGACAACCTAAGAATGCCTGTTGGAGGAGACGGTGAACAACCTCTTCCTCAACCCAGAGAAAGAAGTGCCAGACAATCATCCCTGACTGGTCAGTAGTACCTCTGTAACAACTTGTCAGTGCTAAAAGATGCAATACAGACTTCCTTTACTTATTCACTACATTAGCCTTGTCACTCCATTCCTAAATTTTAGAAGCAAACTTTAAACACCAGTAATGTTTTGGCTGATCTCATACATTTAGGGTCATATGGAAAACTGTCTGAAGTTGATTTTTCACCAGTCCATTAATAAAAACATCACAAACAGGGGCTTTTGTCGTATGCAGGTTTGGTTGAAGACAAGCCCCCGAGACCTAGGCCTAGGCAGAGGACAGCTCACATTGGCAGCAATGGTCATGATGAAGAGGATGGACCAGCAGGAACACCGTCTAGCAGAGCAGCCACATCCTCTGTGTCCATACCACTGTCCTTTACTGATGGGCCCACCATCACAACTGGATCATCTGACAGAATGGGGTCGTTTGGGAGTGACAGCGTCCAGGTGAACGGAAAAACTATTTTCATGCTTGAGTGACCAAAAAGCTCTTGTAGACTGTATTAAATATCTGAGATTATATCAGAGTTTTGGCTTCATAGTGATAAACTTGATTTAAATCCCCTACACCCAACTGTAGTCTATCAGCCAAGACACGTTTGGTGTCTGAAGTTCAGCTACTTTAGCTTTGCACTGGAGCTATTGGGCTAATGTTGCTAACAAGTAATGGCTTACGTTCACTAGTTTAGCATCATAAAAAAAATGTACTTCAAGGTGTTAAGTATCTCAAATTGTCTTATTTATGTTGTTTTTGACACTGAAAAAAAGCTCTTAGTTTTGTCCATACTTTGGTCCCTTTTCATACATAACAGTAGCACCAGAAACATCTTGGCTAATCGGCTACATGCTAAGAGCAAAAATGTGTGCAATTTTTTTGCAAATCTTTTTATTTATTTTTATTTCTTTGACCCTGTCAGGCAGAATTCAGGGACTTCTTTGATCACCTTTGAGTTGTTTCTATCTGCCACTAGAAGAGTTACAGTGCATGCATGTCCACACTGGTCACAGTAAAATGTATCAGCATGTAGAAGTGGCGCTTCTTGGGTGCTACTATGTTTTCTTTCACAGTATAAAAGATGCACACGGCTCCCTTTTCTGACGGGTGCACTGTGATTTTTTTTCTGAATGAGGTTGCAATCTTATTTTAGATTAATGAACACACACTTTTTATTGATTTCTTTAATCAGACTAACTTTTAAACACTACTAAAGCCTTCAGTGTATTCCTATTTATTTGCATGTAACAATTCACAAAATTCATTCGATACAGCAATAATGAGAGGCTTAAAGTGTTAATGTTTCCATTTTTAGTGTATTAGAGGATTTAACATTGTGAAAGTGCAATATTTGAAATAAAAGCTGTGCTTTACAGTGCCCTGATTTAACGCTCCAACCACAAGCTAACATGTTTGTCATGATACAACAATGCAATATGATGAGCTGCAATGCAAAATGATACAATATAATTTGTTATATTATTATATCCTTATTATTTACGCATTTTCTTGTTCAGAAAGCTTACAAAAACAACAACAAATTTAGATTACTTTATTATATACTTTATTATTACTTTACTTCACTTTACTTCACAATATGCTTTACTTACTTTATTAAACTAAAGTAAGTAAAGCATATTAAACTTTATTAAACTAAACATGTCAAATAAATGTAACAACAGTGCTGAGAAATCACAATATTAAAGAGGAAGAGTAGATTAAATGGCAGAAATAGACATTTTTTTGCATGGGCCATAAAGGATGAGAAGAATTCTTTGGTTGGTTGCTGTCCTGAAAGACTGACTCTAAGGCCAAACCCTGGATTCAGTTTATTTTCTACTTGAGGAAGCATCTCTTGCTAGCTGCTGCTACTCCTTGTAATGAAATTTTCAAATATCTTTAATATGTTGTGTTTTTGACTGCAGTATGCAGAAGAGCACCAAACGATGTCATTCTCAGTGGCACAGAGGGGATACGAGGACCTTATTGGCTCACTAGAGGGCACTGGAAGCGCTGGTCAGTCTCTCTCTCTCTCTCTCTCTCTCACTTTCTCTCTCTCTCTGTCTGTTCATAGTGTTCTTGTCATTATAGTTTCAGGTCACATTGAAGAACAGCTGTCTAATTCTTGTCATTGTAGATTAACATACTTAGCCCTCACATATTCCATATTCATTATGTAAATCTTTTCACTAGAGCTCTCTCTTTTTAATGCAGATCTGTCAGTAGTGGAACACAGCAAGGAGGAAAAACACTCCATATCCTTTCAAGAAAATCAAGTAAGCTTTGGAAGATTTCTCTTCCTTTCCCTCTCCAAATTACCCTGCAATTTTCAGTAGAAAATAATTTTTTTTTGAAGCCCCAGCGCTTACAGACTCATTTTGCACTGTTTTTCATGTAAATACCAAATAGCAATCCTTGATGTAATAAAAGTCTCACAGTTGAAGGATCAGATTTACTTTGAACTGTCACAAACCCTATTTTGGAGTGAACCAGAGGCTGGTGCGATTTACTTAACAGAATAAACAGAAAGTAAATAAAATTACTTTTTTTCTCAAAATAATAACCTGTTATGAAATCACCTACTTTCTATAACAGTAATTCTTTTTGCAATTTAGCCATTATTTTGTCTCACTAACTTAAATTCTTGAGAAAATAAGTCATTATTCCAACCTAAACACCAGGTCACAATATGAACCAGAATCAGATAAATGATAAAAAATTCTGTCTTTCAGAAAAAATAAGTAAGGAAACATATGTACATATATATTACTGGTCATATGTTTTGAAGTAGGAAGTTCTACGCAGATAACATGCTAAATTGGCCGACTCCCTGCGCAGTTGATTGATGATACAAACATCAAGTCCATATCAGACCTGAGATGTTATAGAATGTCTGTTAGAGGAATCATTTACTAAAAATAATGTAATTTACACAATCACATTATTTACCTCAAATAACTTAAATCACCCATGACATGTTTAGTTTGGCACTAGAGCTATGAGCCTAATGTAGTTAAAAATGGAGGCTTATACTGAAGTGTGCAATATGACAATATTTATTGTTATTGTGATAAATCATGTTACAATACACCACAGTATGGTTTTCCAAGTATATTATTGATATGAACAGTACTTACAGAAAATGCATGTTTCATCACATATCAAACATTGTTAAACCTTTCTTTCAAGCAGGAGGGCTCAGAAGATGTTTCTCGTGTAACAGCAAGTAGGCAAAGCCAAAGTAGCATCAAATCACAAGACAGGTGAGTTTACTTACTGATGTTCAACACTGAATCAAATGCTGAAGAGACTGACTGTCCTAAAAATTTCAGACCTCCGAGTTGTCGACCAGCAAGCTCCAGAAAGTCCAAGAGTGCATGTTCCTACACTGCAGAATCCAAATATCTGGGCACTTTAAAGGTTTTGGACCAGAAGATGGCTTTACAGGAGACCCAGCCTGAGGCTGCTGATTCCTTGAGGGCTGCTGTCTACCAGGTTGGCCCAAAAAATTCAGAATCGGAATTAGAATATTTTATTGTCCATTTCACTTTGCAGTGAGTGAGTTTTTGGCAGCAAGATACAAGACATTGCAGCCCACAGCACATATAAAACCCTAAATATTTGAACATTGTACTTCATAGTTTATTTGCTCTGCAATCATTACAAGAAGACTAAGAAATGAATACTGGCCTAAGTGTAACAAATGGCAGCTGCTAGTGTGATAGCACCCAACAAGCAAAATACACTGTATAGTAAGAGATATTTCAACCTAAAATTATTCAACCTAAAAACGCACCTCATATGGTAACAGGCTGGTTACCTGGTGTTATTTGAGTCAAATTCTTTGATTTAATGAAGCAAAGCTTTTAACATGTCAATCCTTTTTTAGTCGTGACATTGTCAGGAACTGTGCACCATGTAAGATATTTCATTTTTTTGTTAAACTTAAAAGAAGCAGCGTTACTGAGTCAAGATGAACATGCTAAATTATGGTGGGCCTGCGATGCTGCGAGCTTGAAATCACAATCCAAAAATCAGAGGTGTCAGGTCGGATTTTGCAGGAGTTTTTTTAGGCCATGCATTAATGTCACAAATGCAGGCAAGTGCAAAATTAACATTATGCTGATCAAGAAATTACATGATGAAATAATAATTTACTCACATCCTCAGAAGACGCGCCTTACGCCAAGTTTTGACTAAGTTCCTTTTGATAACACTGTCAACACACTTGCAATCAACACATTCATCTACTCAGGGAGGAGGTCCGAAGCACAACCCACGTTACCACACGATCCCCAAATCTTACATAGTGTAGCTTTAAATATATCACAGCTATATGGGATGCACTGTTTTGAACACAAAATACCATCATGGTTAGAGTAACAAATATGTCAAATTCATCCACACCTATCCTTGAGAAAATGTTATAACACAAAAAAATCCTTTTTCTGTGATGAGAACTGATGAAAAATAAGAAAAATAGTAAAAGTTAGGTAAAAAAACAGAAACAAAAATTGCAAATAATGATGGGGTAGCTCCACCCCCAGTGCTTTAAAATGTATGTTATTGGCTGTGAGTTTCAGTGGTGACAATATTTAACTAAAAACAAAGTATTTTAGTAAAAAAATGAAATCTAAAATAGGGGTGGGCAATATGATGATATTTTATTGTTATTGTGATAAATGATATGAATGTGCATATCATGGATAATGCCATTGCTTAAAGAGCACTGACCAACTGCATGTGTTATTACAAAGAAACATAATTAGTTCTGTAGTTCAGTTATCAAACTTATCTTTTCCACTTATCAAAAATCTATTATCGTAATATGTATTATGTATGCACAGTATCATGATATTATAATTTTGCCATATCGCCCATGCCAATCTAAAATATAACTGTAAAATGATATCAGCTGATATTATTGGTTATCTAAATTTGTAGCTGCTTAAAATTGGTATTGATATTGGCCAAAAAATCAGGTGAGCCCTAGTTCATGTCTTACAAACTCTTGAAAACAACCTCTGCTGTGTTGTATATTTTACAGTATGTATAATAACGCTCTTAATAATAAAGGTTCCTGAATGGTTCTTGGCCTGGACTTGTAGACCTAGGAAAAACCTTCGCTTGGTATTTAGACTTTACATTATGTGGATGTGGATTTAAACTTTAAATAGGATTACAACAGTGGTTCTACCAAGAATCATCCATTGAAAAGTTTTGTTGGAGACCCAAAGTGGTTCTTCCAAAGAGATCTCTACAGATTTTTCTGTAGTCCAGGACCTTTAGCCTCCTCTGAAACATGTTTCCCGACAGGACTGGCTGAAGAAGAAAGAGGAGAAACTGCAAGCAACCATGAAGGCAAAAAAGCAAGAAGAAAAACTGAAAGAGGAGAAAAAGGCAGAGGTAGTACAGATACTTAGTGCTCGAATTTTCTGTACAGGGGCCAAAAAAGCAAAGCACGGCAGCACCTTTAGACATTCTACGGTCTTTTGTTGAACTTCATACACGTTTAAAATGTGTGGTTTTCTCTGTTGTAGGAGGAGACGAGCAAGAAAGCAGAGGCGAAAGCCTCTTACGAAGCCTGGAAAGAAAAGAAACGTGAAACCATAAAAGAGAAGATCAGGGAAAAGCAGGAGGCAGAGAGAAAACAGCAAAAAGAAAAGGAAGAAAAAGAAGAGAGGAAAGAAACAGCAAAAAGAGTAAGCATTTAAAAGAAACAGAAGAACAGTAACGTTCTTAACTCTTAAAAGTCACACATTTTGTCAGCGATAATAAAAGCAGGGTAGAGTTTTATATAGGCTCATTCTCACTCATAGCTCATTGAAATAAACAGAGAAATTCACATTTGTGCTTGTAAGTTGAAGATGAGACATTGTATTATGCTTTGAATTTAATGAAAGTTAATGTTGTGAGTACAGTCTTACTTTTGCTGGGCAAAAAAATGTTTATTTTTTACCTTGTCATTTGTAGATGCCTGAGGCTGGAGTTACACAGTGAAATTTTCATGCAGCTAGTTGCATGCTGTGAGCTGCCTGCAACATCATTTTCGTGCAACTTGACAGTTACACCAACCAGTTAAAAAACAAAGTTGCACCCAACACATTCAGTTACTCCACTAATTAGCCAAATTAACAGCTCATATTTTTGATACACTCATTATAGAGTCATTGGTACCACTTTGATATAAGACTACCCTTATAAAGCGTTTATGAATTATTTAAAAGTAGATTGTTAATGGTTATTAGTTGGGTCATAAACACTTCACTAGTTATTAATAAGCAGTTACAACACATTAATAAAAAGTCAGCTGTTATATCTGATGAATATGAATATGTGATGAAGCTGAAAGGTTGCATACTAACTGATGAAGACAAAGTAAGATCAGTAAACATCAATATCTGAGGTTTAACCGTATAAATCAATGTGGGTTCACTATTAGGCAAACAACAGGTCGCTGTTGCCCTTTTTATGTATGTGTTGTAAATGCGTGAGTGATTATGTCTTTAAGACATAATTAGTAACAGTTAATAAACTTATTTTGAACCATTCATGAATACTTGATAAGGGTAGTCTTATTTTAAAGTGGTATCGAGTCATTCTTGAGATGCAGTTTATATATTTGCAGTAGTTTTATAAATTTTATATATTTTTTTCAAGCTGTCATTGGCATTCTTTTTTCTATATCTAACTTTTTTCTATATATCTAGGTTTCTTTACAATATATTTGAGTTTTTCATCTGTTTAATGTTTAATCTGTGTATGTTAAGCCTTTGGAAGTTAATGTTTAAGTAGCCTTTACGGTTATAGCCTTCTTGATGTCTCACTTATCCTGTCCTAGAAGCACCACTCTCCTCTTCTGTAATAATTTTCAACCTTTGGATGCCAAATGAATCTGAGCTTTGTGTAAAATAGGGGGCGGCAAGCTCAAGCAGCCATTCAAAAAGCTGTCAACGTTAACTGGCTAGTTAACACGGCTAGTAAAAAAATATTTTTAGAAACAAGTTTGGAGAAACGTTGTTGCCATGGCTCAAGAAGTTGACAAAATAAACCTGGAGTCAGTTGTTGGGTGGTGGGGGGGGTCTCATTTTCAACCATCCTATAAACCATCTTCTGATTAATTTTCTTGTTCATTAATTGTTTGAAAGTATGCCATTCAAAGTGATCATATCATGCGTTATTGGCGTTTTGACTGGCTGTGAGAAGCTTGAGATGCTTTCAGGTGTTGTGAGTGAGTTTCAGGTTAGTTGCAGGATGCTTTACATTATGCAGCTTGAGCGTTTTAGGCTGCGATTACATTACCAGGTTGAAGTGGCACAAATCCGATTTTTTGCCTTAATGTGATGTGGATCTGATGTTTTCAGAGCTGTATGGACAAATCTGGTCTTTATTGAAAGATTTGCATCATGAACCTATCTAATCGTCACGTTAGAAAGATCGCAAATTGGAAATGAGCAGTAAAGCTGTAATGTATGTTTCAAAGAATTAGTTACATGAAATTTTCACAGTGTAATCCCAGCCTAAAGAGTAAATGTGCTTTTTAAACTTGCCTGGTACACTTGAATGAATTATTTAAAGTTATTGGTTGATATAAAATCATATCAGAATAACAATTTCATTGTGCCATCAAAAGTTCCTTTATAAGAGTGATTAGAAATGGGTGGCACGATGAAGGACATTCACCAGACGAGTGTGTCATGTTCAACACTGAAAGCAATTTCAGTGACATGCACTTTCATTTCTTGAAACAGCTTTTCGAGAAATGGAAACAAGAGCACAATGATCACCTACGAGAGCAGCAAAGAAAACAAGCCCAAGCAGAGAGCAGGCTGAAAGAGAAAAAGGAGAAAGAGCAAGATGAGAGGGACAAAGACTGCAACTCTTCTTTCACCCAGTGGTGAGATGAAACTAATGTAGACACAGTATAGCACCTTTTGTGTCAGATCATTTTTTGCATATAGTATTAATGAAAGAGCTGTATTTATTTCAGCAATATGTTTTTAGTCAAGCAATCTACACAACTGTTTCAAGAAGCGCAACAAACTGCAGCTTTAAGCCATGATTAAAAAATGTTGAACATGCAGTGTCGTCCCCTAAATGTTCCCTAGGAGTGAAAGGAAAAAGGATGCCATTGAGAAGAAGATGAAGGCAGAACGGAAGAAGGAGAAGATCAAGGAGATAGAAGAAAAGTATCAGAAGGAGGAGAGAGAGAAGACGGCTTTGGAAATGTATGAGAAATGGCTGGTATGTGCATTTTCTCTCTCTCTCTCTCTCTCTCTCTATATATATATATATATATATATATATATATATATATATATATATATCAGGCATAACTGATCAGGCATAACATTATGACCACCTCCTTGTTTCTACGCTCATTGTCCATTTTATCAGCTCCACTTACTATATAGGTGCACTTTGTAGTTCTACAATTACAGACTGTAGTCCATCTGTTTCTCTGCATACTTTGTTAGCCCCCATTTAGCCTGTTCTTCAGTGGTCAGGACCCCCATGGACCCTCACAGAGCAGGTACTATTTGGGTGGTGGATCATTCTCAGTACTGCAGTAACACTGACATGGGTGGTGGTGTGTTAGTGTGTGTTGTGTTGGTATGAGTGGATCAGATAAAGCAGTGTTGCTGGAGTTTTTAAACACCTCAGTTTCACTGCTAGACTGAGAATAGTCCACCAACCAAAAATATCCAGTCAACAGCGTCCTGTGACCACTGATGAAGGACTAGAGGATGACCAACACAAACTGTGCAGCAGCAGATGAGCTATCGTCTCTGACTTTACATCTACAAGGTGGACTGACAAGGTAGGAGTGTCTAATAGAGTGGACAGTGAGTGGACACAGTGTTTAAAAACTCCACTCATACCAGCACAACACACACTAACACACCACCACCACGTCAGTGTTACTGCAGTGCTGAGAATGATCCACCACCCAAATAGTACCTGCTCTGTGAGGGTCCATGGGGGTCCTGACCACCAGCGCTGATAAAATGGACAGTGAGCATAGAAACTATATATATATATATATATATATATATATATATATATATATATATATTAAGAAATATATATATATAGCACCCCATTTCCAAAAAAGTTGGGATGCTGTGCAAAATGTAAATAAAAATCATTTAAACCCTATATTTCATTGTAAATAGTACAAAGACAATATATCAAATTTTGAAACTTTTGAAATTGAAATTTTATTGTTTTTTGAAAAATATTTGCCCATTTTGAATTTGATGCCAACAACATGTTCCAAAAAAGTTGGGATGGGGGCAACAAAAGGCTGGTAAATTTGTGTAATGCAAAAAAAAAGCTGGTAATTGACTGGCAACAGGTCAGAAACATGATTGGGTATAAAAAGAGCATCTCAGAGAGGCTGAGTCTTTCAGAAATAAAGATGAGGAGGGGTTCACCACTCTGAAAGACTGTGCGAGCAAATGTTATTCAAGAATAACATTTCTCAACATAAAATAGCAAAGAACTTTTGCTTTGCATCTTCTGTGGTACATAGTATCATTAAAAGATTCAGAGAATCTGGAGAAATCTCTGTATATGCAAAGGGCCAAGGCCAAAAAACAGTAATTGCTGGCCATGATCTTTGGGCCCTCAGACGGCACTGCATTAAAAACAGACATGATTCTGTAGAGGAAATCACTGCAGTGGCTCAGGAACACTGTCTGTGAACACAGTTCGTCGCTGCATCCACAAATGCAAGTTAAAACTCTGCTATGCAAAGAAGAAACCATATAACCATAACAGGATCCAGAAACACTGCTGCCTTCTCTGGCCCCAAGCTCATGTGGGTGAAGCCCAAGGTGAAGTGAAAAAGTGTCCTGTGGTTCGACAAATCAACATTTGAAATTTTTTTTGGAAATCATGGACGCTGTGTCCTCTGAGCTACCCGCCTGGCTTGTTATCAGTGCACAGTTCAGAAGCCAGTATTCATGATGGTATAGAGGTGCATTAGTGCACATGGCATGGGTGACGTGCACATCTGTGAAGGCACCATTAATGCTGAATGATATATACATGTTTTGGCAACATATGCTGCCATCCAGATGACGTCTTTTTCAGGGAAGGCCTTGCTTATTTCAGCAAGACAATGTCAAACTACATTCTGCACGTATTACAATAGCATTGCTCCGTATTAAAAGAGACTGGGTGCTAAACTGACCTGCCTGCAGTCCAGACCAGTCTCAGTTTCAACATTTGATATGTTGTCTTTGTAGTATTTTCCTTTAAAAATATGGTTTACATGATTTGCATATTATTGCGTCCTATATATATAGACACACCCCCAGATGTTTTTGTAGCAGTTTTGAAGCAGTCAAATATTGTTTGGCATTCTCAAAGATTTGTGATGTTCTCTTGTGTATTAATACAGAAAAGCTTTCAACAGTTGAATAGATCACTGTGAGGGAGCATCAAAAGAGCAGAGCTAACATTTATAGGACCTATTTTACCTTGAACCCTTTCATTCTGTACATTATCATAACCTTTATTTTCATCATATTTTGTTTATTTTCTTAATAATAAGCTGAAGATTCATTTTTTCACTCTGTTCTTTAACTTTCATTATAAGAACCATCACATCTTACTGATTGTACTCTATGAGTAATGTTTCATCTGCATATGGAAGGTTATTAATGTTTCTTTCACCAATTTTAAGTCCTTGATCAACTTCCTCCAGTCCTGATTCTCTTATGTATTTTTGTATGTTCAGCATACAGGTTGAACAAACTAATAATAATTGATTGTAATAATGTCTCCATTTTTGCCATTTTTTGACACAGTTTGAAAATGCCAGTTGCTCTTTACATTGTATGTAAATTTCATGATGAATGAACCAAACGTAATGACCCAAAATGACCTGGGGGAAAAAAAAAGTCTGGTTCCATTGACTTACATTATAATTAAAAAGGTTTTTTCCTTCTCCTGTAAAGTTTGGAGATACCAGGTTTTTTCTGACAACAGTGATATATACATTTTTTTACCCCAAAATAAAATTCTCAGGCTAATCTGTGCCCACCCAAAAGCTTAGTGTATTGTTTTTATGGTCTGTATTTCAATGCTGTATAAATAATTCTTATTAGTGTGACAAATAACCAAAATAATCAAATCAAAGAATAGAATCATAAACTAATCAAATCATTGTGAGATTTACATTCACATTTTCAACCCCCTCACGGTGGCCCCCAAAAGTATTTGGACACTTGTGCCATACTTAAAATATATAAGCTCACTGGGTTAGAAAAGTGTTAAAAATGAGACATTTATTTTAAACAGATCATTCCTAGACTGTCAGTTTCTTTCCATCTCTGTGCTTTACAGGAGCCTTACTGCAAATTGGTTGGAATTCTTCTGCAGGTTTTCTCCACACAAAGAGTCAATTATTAGTTTGATGTTGTGCTAAAAGTGTTTCTCTCTGAAACAAATATCATTTTCTTAAACGCTTTACAAAGTAACATAAAGAACTTCATCAAAGTTTAACAAATACATTTTGGGGTCACTGTGTGTAGTATACTGTAAGCTAAAACATTTGCATTTTTCTATTCCCCTCACAGAAAAGAAAAGAGTTTCAACAGAAAAGAGAGAAACAAGAGAAGAAAATCAAGGCCATTGTTCAAGAGGAGCCTCCTCCCCCATGGAGCCCGCCCAACAGAACCATTCCCTTTGGTAAATAAGCCTTATCTTGCTGGCATCTCCACCATATCTATGTAATGACTGATGCATCAGACTGATACCGAATCCGGCACAATGACCGATATCAGGACTTTGCGAGCAAGTCCGCACCAAATCAAATTATGTGACAGATTTGTTGAATCATGCTTGTACGTTTTGTCTGATGTTTTACGGAAGAACACTAATGAATACATTAGCAGTGCTATTTTAAAAGTACTTGCAAATCTTCACAGACTTTCAAGGGCGCAGCTTTCTAAATAACATTTTTATTAAAATGTAGGTGCTCACTTTAAAATATGTGTATGTAAACCTGTTCTAAGTTATTCATGACCCTATTTATTAAACCTTGCTCAACTTCACTCCTTCAGATTTGAATCATTATCATCTAAATGTGTGCTTTAGTTAGCTAGAACTGCACATGTTCTGTGGTAAGGAAGAGCTGTTACCATGCTAGCTTGGCTAATGCTAACCAGCCATACAAGACCAGGGGTCGTATTACAGAATCTTTCTATTTTTTGGTCTTAGGTTAAGATCTGATCGATTAAGATAAGATTTTTCACAAAGTTGTATTACAGAAGCAAATCTTATCTTAACTAAGGAATTTTATCTTACCTCACAGCATCTTAACCTGCGTGATCGAAGTCGATAATCAACTGTCATGTCTGTTACCTAGCAACCGACCATACACGCACAGCTGAAACGTAAACCTGTGCTTTGATGCATGGCCAGAGAACTTGTAGAGAGAATCCCCACTCTGCAATGTCTTCAGGGTTTTTCAAGCGCTAGAGGGCGCTCCCGAGTGAGTCCAAAATGAATGGGTTGATATGGAGCATTTGAGCAAAATCATAGTTTATAAATGCTGAAACATTTTTAATGTAAAAGAATACAACCATTTCCTGAACTCTGAACAGCATAAAACACTTCAACACTGCTGTTATATTTTTAAGAGCTTTTAAACTCGAACTATAGGAGTTTAAAACGGCAACTCATGTATGTCTATGATGTCAGTGAGCGCGAACAACCAATGAGCTCGCCAATCATCACGCTCTAGCAGTAATGCCCGCCTTCTGCTGCCCAAAACCCTCTTGTTGTAGAAAAAAGGAAATATGTAGATGAGATTTCTTACCTATAGTTAAACACCAGTTGTTACATCAGTCCTTCAGATTTAAGTCGTTATCATCAAAATGTGTGGCAGCGCTTTAGTTAGCTAGAACTGAACATTTTCTGTGGTGAGCGGAGCTGTTATTATGCTAGCTTGGCTAATGCTAACCAGCTCCTCTCTCCTAGTTAGCAGCACTGTTTAACATCAGCTGTTAGGTAACAGCAGCTGTTAGGTAGATGGTTTGACCTTTATTGAATGATGGTCTGAAAATCATGCACTGCGTTCACTTATTTGGTGACCAAGTATGCAAACTAAACTTTTTGGTTATTGTTGATGTTGAAATAATGCAAGACGAGATGGTACAAAAGCAACATAAATGCTTTTACGTAACTTTAGATGCTTTTATGAAATATATAGATACTGCCCAACCCTACTGTTTATACTGTACAGAATGTGCTGCCTGTTGGGAACAATGGAGCTGCCCATTATATATGTTTCTTCATAATCCATTTACCAGGTTCAGCTTCACAACCTGTCAAACTGTACAAACAGAATAAACTGAATACTGATTGGACATAAATATGTAATTTATTTACACACAGAGCGCCCTGGTGTGGTGGCACATGCAGAAAATGCCATAACAGTCATTTTTTGGGCTTAATTGTGGTTTAGTGTTTGAGTTGTTGTGAGGTCTTTTTCACATCAAGTAATTTTTTACAGATTAAATGCACTGAAACCTTCACATCATGTCCAGTGTGTTTTTTAGCAGTCAGAACACAAAACGAAGATGCAGAGCATGTGCATGACTACAGATGGTCTCTGCAAGTCAGAGACTACCCTTTATTTATTTGTTATTCAGCATCATGAAAAAAGCAGAGAACATATTTATCAGAAAATTAAGCCCCAACAACTAAATATATATTTTTAATATGTAGCATGTCCACCCAGTCCGTTGTTCTGAGAACACCAGCAGCTTCTTAATTTGCAAATTTTCTTTTTTTTCTTTTTTTGTCTTCCATTTTTGTTTTCTCAGTAAAACCTTCTTGAGTTGCCTCACAGAGGAAGGATGGACATAACACCTGTTTTCAGACATGAAGCAAGAACTTTATATCTGAAAACAGGTCACATTTTCTCTGCATCTTTTAGAGTTATGCAAAATGGCTCAAATATAGTATCGCGATACTTTTTTTCAGACATCTGATCACTTGGAACTGAGAAAAAAGGACCATTAGTGCTATTTGGCATACTGTTTTGCACTAAATCCAGTTCAACAGGACTAAATTCGCTTTTATTATAATGAAACATGCAGTTGGTCAGTGTTCTATAATTACTGACAATATACACAATATGGTCAAAAAAGCAGATTGTATTGTGCCATGACAATTTATCTCAATAACGATATATATTGTCCTATTGCCCAGCCCACTTTTTGAATTCAGTTTTGGAAAATCCTGTATATTTAATCTCTTTAAAAATATGTCCTGAAAAATATTAATAATATTAAATATTAATTCATTGGAAAATGAAAGGCATCCTTACTTTTTGTACATTTTCACTTGAGATTCAGTATTAAATATAAATAGTACTTTTGCACAGTACTTCACATTACCATTGTGTTTTAATATAGTGTAAGTTATATTGTAATCACAATATATAACAATACAGACACAGTGTGGAATTTCAGTAATTCAAATCACATACTACCCAGAAATACACTGTGGTCTTAATATGATATTAGCACTAGATGGCAGCACAATGAAACCCCTTAACTGGTCTCATAAGGCATATCAGACAAGGACTATCCACCTAATGCCCATTTTTGTGATAAATATCCTGATGAATATGATTTCCTTATCCCTAATACATTCCTGTTCCGAAATTCTAAGTTAATGCATCCCTCCCTCTTTTCTGAGTCTACAAACCATCCAAAATGAATCCATCATTAGTACATTAAGTGCGGCTGTTCTTGTTGTGCAGTAAAGCCCTTTCTCCAGGGAAAATTAAATCAAGATTATGTCAGTTGGTGCTTTAATTACGCACGCAGTAAGATGAGCAGCTTTGTGTCTCCATCAATCCTGCTGACAGAAACTCAATAGCGGCCTCGTTGGGATAATGTTACTGCCATCTTTTTTGCCTTCTGAGGCTGAGGAACAATAAATAGGAAAGCGATTGGGTAGATCGATAGCCAAAGCCCCTGAAACTGGGCAGAATTTTGGATGGCAAGCTGAAATTTTTATGAGAATTCTGATGTCAGGAGAGGTGGCTTTTTTAGGGAATTAACCTCTTTTAGGGTGAAAAGAGGCATATTTTGTACACTTTTCAGTACTGTGATTTAGTCCCAGTCAGTGTTGGCCTGTGTGGTCATTGGATCATCTGACTATTTTAACCTAATTACATGCAGTACTGTTCAAAAGTCACACACCCTCCTTTGTTTTATTAATTTCCTGTCAGGGCCATTAAATGCAAGTTTGTAATTTTCCAGGAGATATTTCTGAGGAGATTAGATGGAAGATTATCTGCTTGCATAAGGAAAAGGAGAGTCACAGAGAAATAACTGAAAAGACAGACGTTCTAAAGACTTTCCAAAACTGAAGTTCAAAAAATTTATAGAGATATATAAAGAAACCACCAAAACCACGAAAACTGTCCCTATCAGATAAACATCTTTGAGAGACAGGAGAAAAGCTGCTTCAGATCTGAAAAAAAGCCTCACGTGTTTCTGTCCATCCTTCCACTGTGAGAAGGCAACTCTGAGTTACTGAGAACAGGAAATAGACAAAAAAGAAGAACATTTGCAAATGAAGAAGTTGCTGGTGCTCTCAGAACAATGGACTGACCGCCCCAGAGTGCAGACCTCAACATCATTGAATGTGTTTGGGTTTATTTAGATCATGATAGCCAGAAAACGCAAACAAATTCTAAGACTGAACTTTTGAGGTGTGGAAAAATATCCCTGCAGGTTTCTATGAAAAACTGAAAGCAGGTTTCCTAAAAAACAGTGTAAGCTGTAATAAAGGTAAAGCTAATTACTGAACACAAAATCTGATATTATGAACTGTATAGTTTTTGAGGCTTTTGTGTAATTTTCTGTTAAATTTATGTTTCCTGATTTTTTTCCTGACATTGAAAAATGAATAACTTGTACGTAAAGGCCGATTTGACAGGAAAATTAAATAAATGAAAAGTAGTCTTTGACTTTTGCACAGTACTGTTTGGCCTAAGATAAACAGTTTTCCCCACTGATTCAGGCAATCAGCCAATACATGTTGTCTATTGTTGCTTCTTCAGCTAATGTAGCTTACAAATAATGGAATGGAAAAGCTTATACTTTTCCAGTGGAAGCTCAAATCACACACTTGCCTCATGTCAAGTGTGTGATCATGTCAAGTTCATGTCAAGTTTTTAAGCAATCTCAAAAGACTGGCTTAAGTGGTTTCTGACCATGTAGGACATGCTATTATCTATAAAACTGGACAGTACATAACAAAGCTAAAGACAATTGTAGCAGCCATCTCGAAGCCTTTTTTCCATACTTTTGTGCGTTTTTATATGTAACGGTATGTTACAATGTTAGAAGGCACATAAACAAGTCTACTTGAGATTACTTAGCACAGAGGTAAATGTGTGATGATTTAGGCATGCAGTTCACGCAGTGCTAATTAGTGTGCTACAAGCTTCCACTTCCTGTTAGAAATAGAATTAGTTTTAGGAATAAATGGTCAATGTAGCCTATAACTGCTAATTCACCAGATCTTGACCCTGAAGGTTGGCGCACAGGCTGTTGGTCACACAGCAACGCAGCCAACAGTCTCGCCTAGCTAATAGCTAACGAAAACGCAGAAAGATTTAATAAGTTTAATCTGCAACTAGAAACACTAAAAAAAGTCACAATGCTGAAGATTCTTATTAGAATTCTCCCGTTGCACCTTAAAAGGTGCAGCAGTTACGTTCTGGCGCCTCAGGCATTATTTAAGGTGGAACGCGAAAATTAGAACAAGAAGCTGGAGAATGAGAGGAGACTTCAGCGTCATAAACAGTCTTAGATTTTTGTTGAAATGACAAAATGGCTTCTTAACATTTGGGTTGCCGACCCCTGGTTTAGGCTGTCCAGTCAGGTCCAGTGTACATCAACCATGTATGAATTCTAGGTGTTATGCTTAGTAACACTGAAAGAGTGTCTCGCTTGATGAAAGTACGGCCTGCAGCTTCAAGTAAATCTCTAATCACTACACTGCTAGTGTGCAGCATGTCCAGTTTTCCAGCAAAGCGGTTTGAAATTGTCCAATATTGTCTGCCAGATGGACTTTTCCAAGACACTGTATATGAATTGATTGGGGGGGGTGGGGGTGGGGGGTGGGGGGGTGGAGGACTTGAGAGACTTTATTGACTTAAATACATCTGCCTCGTTTTATTGATGAAACAACATTGACATGTGAGTGTTGTGTATATGCGTTACAAAGCGTTCATACCTCAATTTTTCTCAATTAGAACTGGGAAATATGACACTTTATCATTTTGGTGATTAATTACATCACAGTATGTCACAATATGCTTTTCTGAGCATATCTTGGATACTGCCAGTACTTAAAATCCTGCATGTTTGATTAAAGAGAGCATACTTAGTCTTGTTTAATTGGATTTAGTGCAGCACAATGTGTAAGATGTTAAATACAAGTCACTGAATTCTTAGTTTTTGATAGTATTTTTAAAATATGGGCTTACATTGTCTGTTGTAACATCAGATGTAACAATAAATAAATAAATAAATATTGTGACATCACATATCGTAAAAAATTTTGTGAAGTATCGTGTTAGGATTACAGCAGAAATTACTGCACAATTTTCCCTTTCCAACAAAACTTGTCCCATATCAGCATTTGTAAACTGACCAGTGCTTGCACGTCCTTTTACTGACAATTAAATAAAAAAGATGCAGTGCAGATGCAGCAACTAGACAGCCTGGCATCTGTCATATCCCTGGTTTATCATGTTTGTTTCTCTATAAATTAGAAAAAGTATAACACACTTCTTATTTACAGTATTTTAGACTCCTGAATCTACTTATAAATGACATTCTTCATGATCTCCTTGCTATGTACATTAATACATATGACACACAGCAGTTGGACATACATATCTTATGGGAACAAACATTTAACAATCACATTGGGCTACCATTCTCATTTCACACTGCCTTAACACGACATACCACAGTAAATTGGGATTAATCAGAGAAACCAATGGGACAGTCAGATACTAACCGCTGATTTTGTCTTTTACATATTCACAGGGGGAGCTGAAACATGTACAGTTGTGAGTTTTCAGTCTTTAAATCTTCCAAATAATTTATCATTTTATAATTTAATTTATTTATTTATTTTTTTTTTTAATTTATAATTTATTTTTAACTTCACTGAAATATCTCACGGGTGGCACGGTGGTGCAGTGGGTAGCGCTGTCACCTCACAGCAAGAAGGGCCTGGGTTCAATTCCTGGCCGGGTGACCAGGGTCGTTTCTGTGTGGAGTTTGCATGTTCTCCCCGTGTCTGCGTGGGTTTCCTCCCACAGTCCAAAAACATGCAGTCAGGCTGATTGGACATGCTGAATTGCCCCTAGGTGTGTGTGACTGTGTATGTCTGTCTGTCTGCCCTGCGATGGACTGGCGACCTGTCCAGGGTGTATCCTGCCTTCCGCCCAATGACAGCTGGGATAGGCTCCAGCACCCCACCGCGACCCAGAAGGATAAGCGGTTTAGATGATGGATGGATGGATGGATGAAATATCTCACACAAACCTGCTGGTGTTGGTATATAATAGAGATGGATGAAGTTTAGTAGACTTTTTTTAATGCACAGAGTGTTGGCTTGCTAGTAGCATGTATGTAGCAATATGCATATTTACTTTTCATATTTGACTCCACATTTTTTTTTTACCACAAAGCGCAAAAATGCCATTCCTAATAGGGACATGATGCCAACTACAGAACGATACACAACAAAGTCTACTGAGAGAGCAATAGTTCAGCAAATAATCAACTTTTCCATTTCAGCCAAATGTAGTTGATCAGCCTAGACATGTTTGCTTCATTAGTTTTGCACTGGAGCTACGGGGCTAATGAAGCGAACATGTACTGTGAATGAAACTGCACTGTGCAAACTGCATGCCTAAATCATTGCACGTTTCAGACTGTTGTAGAGTTGTTAATTAATCCCAAATAATCTTGCTTCTGTGGTTTCTGACACATAGCTAAAAACAGCAGTAGCAGCCATCTTGAAGCCTGAATTTTCATCCATTTTTATGCATATGTGTATATATAGATAACAATATGTCATACAGTGTCAGATACCACATGTACTTTAAAGTAAATATGTAGTTTGCACAGTGCAGGTTGCTTGTTAGCAGCACTGTGCTGTGTTCATGGCAACTGAGAACTGAGGTCAGTAAAAAAACTGACACCCACAGCACTCTTTTGGCCGCCGTGGACACATAAAAGTCTCTTTAAAAGCCTTTACACCACATTTAAAGAGTTACGTTCTTTATGTAGTTTAAAAGTGAATGTAGGATATGGCAGTTAACCATTAATAATTGTGCTGATATTGACATGAAAGCACATAGTTTGACTAAACCTCTGGTGCAGAATGACTTAAGTCTATCTCTCTGTCTTTAGAGATGTCACATACAAACAGCATATTATACACGAACATCAACTAAAAATTCTGCGTAAAGCGCTTCTTGTTATTTAGGGTTGCCCTGTTGAAGTTACATCCTGGCAACTTAAACAGTCAAAGTTCCTGAAAAACTGGGAGCTGGATTGCTGTTCAAATGGATTTTTCCTATGTGGAAGTCAGAAACTACCTGGTCCCCATCTGGTGACAAACAAAGCATTAGCTTCATGGCTCCAGTGATAAATGAAACAAGCAAACTTCGGATATCAAGCACATCCTGGCTGATCGACTACACTGGGCGTAAGGGTAAGAACAATCGTGTAAATCAGTTCAGTATAAAGCCAGAGTCAGAGGTGCGTGTTAGCCTGTGTCAACACGCTAATCGTACTTTGGTGTGTGAGAGCCTTTTCCCTCACTGTGTCTCTGCTATGCACCCTCCTGAGTCTGCTCTCCACCGGACCACACTTGCACACAGCCGCGAAGGCGCCCCTATAGTTCCTGTTCATCCAGCCATAGAGGATGGGGTTAGCGAACGCCGAGCACATGGCAATGACATGGAACACTGTGTAGAGCAGCTTGAAGTCCTTCATTTCCAGCACGCTGGTGTCGATGTCGACGGCCAGCTGGAAGGCATGGAAAGGCAGCCAGCTGATGGCGAAGACCGCCACCACGGTGGCCAGCATCTTCGTGGTCTTCTGTCGGCGCCTGTGGCGGTCACTTCGACCTCCGCCAGGGCTAACGTGCTTCCTAAGCTTGGTCCAGATCCTAGTGTAGGCGAAGGAGATGACGGAGAGCGGCAGGCCGTACTGCAGGAAGAACATGGAGACGCTATAGACGGTGCCATCCGCGCTGCTGCCGGGCCACTTCTCGGCACAACCCTGGACGTAAACGGTGGGTAATATGATGATGTTATTTATTATCGTGATAAATTTCTTATCAGTATACTTTTCTGAGTATTCCATAAATATCAATCAGTACTTCTGTAATTCATTAGTCTCATGAATGGATTATGTTCATCTTGCGAATGCACAAGATGGATTCTTGGGGTTGAGCTCACCTGACGGACCACCTGGCATGAGCCTGTGCCGCTTTGTCTGTCCATGATTTGTTTTCTTATTTATTGTCACAGGCTGTTTGAAGAGCCATTTACTCTGCAGCTAACCGTTACTAGGTTTCTACTTTAGTATATACAAAAAAACAGGAAATGGACAATTAGATAACTTGGGCATGCAGTTCATTGGGTCAGATTCTGAAGAAGAGTGTGACAGCAGAACTACATCCAATTCTGAATCTGTCATTGCCCTGAGCAAGCTTTTTGGTCGGCACCTGTGACAGTGGGACAGCTAAACCAACTGGAGTTAGCCAAAATTAACACAGAGAACAGTTTATCAAAATGGGCTGTGAAATGATTTAAAGACTAGCTGGAGCAAAAGGACAGTCAGGTTGATCTGGCGAGCTGAGCTGAACCTGAACCTGATGCAACAGTTTTATGGTTCTATCCATAACGCAAAAGCACATTTGATATAATGTTCAGGGCTTCTTTGCTTTGGTTTTTTCCTTATTTTGCACTACTGTGCAATGAAATGAAAGCAATAGAACACTTTAGGTCATGCATTATCACGATCAATATCATGCCTGTTATTTGTCATTATCTTATTGTATTCATTTATTCTTACCAGTTGTTTGATTATTTTTTCTTCCTTTCCTTCTTAAATTACCGCTGCCCTCCCCATGGCAGACTGGGCAAGCACAACATGGTGCACCAATAAGAGTCCTTGGTCTAGACTCCTAATCCTATATTTGCCAACCTTTGTAACATGCTTAAATTGTATGGTCATCTGCTAAATGCATGAATGTAAGTACTTTATTTTTGCATTGAATTCAAAATTCATGTTGAATTTCAAAGAATTTAACTTGTTCACAAACCTCAGAAAAATATATGCCTATTTTATATGTGCACGTAGGCTATACTTGGGCAATACAGCCCCTCCCTTTTTGAACAAATATATTGGATATCTGTACAAATATAAGCTCCTAAGCCCACTAATGTTTATTTCAGACCTGTGGGAAACACTATATTGTGTATCATGGAAATTTCAAATATTTATATTGCATGTGATGTTAAAATTTCACTTTTACCTGAATGCTCTGCTCGGGCGTCACATCAAAGGTCACATACTCGCGGAAGATGGCTAGCGGGCTAGCCAGCACGGCGCTAGACACCCACGTGACGGCGATGACCACGGCGCAGACGTCTTTGGACATTTTGGTCTCCATATGGTGGACAATGCTGCGATAGCGGTCCAGGGCTATTACGGTGAGCGTGATGGTGGAGACGTTAACGGCTAGCCCCTGTGCGTAGGGCAGCAGGTAACACATGGCTTGACCGAACTTCCACTCGCCGTAGAGAGTGGACATCAGCGTGAACGGCAAGCACAACGCGTTCACCAGCAGGTCCGCCACGGCCAGGTTCACGATGAAGAAGTTGGTGACCGTGTGCAGATTTCGGAACTTGTAGACAACATAGATGACCAAGGAGTTCCCGGTCACTCCAAACAAAATGATGGTGCTGTACGCCAAGATCAGAACCACCTGAACACCGATTAGCTTTGTGCTGTCCTCCAGACCATCCAGTAAATCACCCTCAACCTGAAAGTTTGCCAGGGTGCAGCAATTTGAGGGGGCAGCGAAAGAGCCATTGGTGTTCTCTTGGCTTCTTATATCCATGCTTGGCATCCATGCACAAAAACTGCACAAGGAGACAACAAGAAGGTGATGGCAATTAGGACTGTCACCATCATAACACAGTCATGTTTGATGGATAACTGGTTAATCAGAGTTCTTTAAAAAAAAGCCCATAACAATAACAAGGGAATTCCACTGATTTCTCACACTTGCTCTACAGTTTAATCGCTGAGATGTCAATCAGAGTGGTTTCATCTGAAATGATTAATTGTGGAGAAGCTTACCAACGAGATTTCTTTACAGTGGTGGTGATAGGAACCAGGGATTACACTGTCAACACCACAAATATAGCCATTTTATTTACTACTGAAAATGACCAGTAAATCTACACATCTTTTCTAACTTTATATATATATATATTTGAAAGGCAAAGTAGATCCTAAAGAAAACCTTTTTCATCAAATTTACCACTATTTTACCATAATAAGTGTTATTATATATATATATATATATATATATATATATATATATATATATAAAATAACACTTATTATGGTAAAATAGTGGTAAATTTGATGAAAAAAGTTTTCTTTAGGATCTACTTTGCCTCACAAAACCCTGCACAAACCTCTTCACCATGAATGGATTTTAAAAAAAATATGTTTTAGGCCAAGATTTTAAGAAAGATCCTCCTGGTTGACAAAATGCAAGATTGACAGTTTTTTGTTTTTTTTTAATTTGTTAGCTCCCTGAGACAGAAGAACAAACATACGTTTCTTGAAGCTACGCTTTCTGTAATCAGCTTAACTGGCCAGCTGATCTATGTTGCTAGATTATTTATTTTTATTCCTAATTAAGTAGCCATTGCAGCATCCAGCACAGCCATAATTGAAATATGAATTTTCAAATGTGTAGTACACACAGATTACAAAAACTCAAATACATAGTAAAGAACCTTGTGTGTGTGTGTGTGTGTATATATATATATATATATATATATATATATATATACACATACACATACATACATACACACACACGCATATATTATATATATATATATATATATATATAATATATATATATATATATATATATATATACATAATATGTATAAATAATGTCATAGATGACAAAGTGAGAACATGAGCTATTAATATGGCTAAATAGTGGAATAACTGAATGTGTTGCATGTGACTGTTTTTGAACTGCTTTGTGCAACTGACAAATTCCAAGGAATTTATTTTGCCTGCAACTCACAACATGCTAGTATTTGCATGACAGTTTACTGTGTAAAGCCAGCCTTGGAGGCATTAAATATCTCAGAGGTCTGGTTCCTATCACCACCAAACAATTCTGACCGTGTGTCTCTAGAATGGAGCATGTCACATCAAACCACCCTGAATGAGTATGTAGCCTTTCAAAGACTTTGTATACATATATATATATGTACACACACATACACACGTGTGTTCATGTTATATGTATATATGAAATATCATCAGGCAAATGGTCAAATAACTGCCAATGTTTCTTGTTTTTTATTTATTTAAGTGCATTGAGCTTTACTTTCCACAGCCAAAGCCATTAAACAGCTAAGTACTACCATCCTCACTGATGAGGGTGCAGCCATGCATTTACAGATGGCTTCATCTGCTCCACTGGTCTTTCAAAGCTTTAACAACAGCACAGAATATCTAGAACATTAAGCAGGATTCCTTGCTGTAATGCTAACTGTGGCGATGCAAACAGCCTATTCATTTCAGTGTACCTACATAATTAAGCTTAATTAATCACATACTTCATACAAATTACAGACCATCGACCAGTCATTTGGAGAAAAGCCGCGAAAACAGCCCAGGATGTACATCAATAACATCTGAAAATATCTTCAGGTAAGTGGATTCATGTCTTTACTTCTATGTAAATCTGCGTAGGTAAACACTGATTTCTATAAATCCCAGTAAGTCTACTCAGTGAGTTATATTCGCTGAAAAACGTTTCAGCTGCCAGTCGACTAAACAGATAAGTTCCATCAGCTCACCTGCTCCACGGTGTAGATCCTCCAGTGAGTTCACAGAAGAAAGCGATGAGCTCCTAAAACTCTCCACAGAGAACGAAAGAGAAGTGCGTTCAGAGGCGATGCATCCATGCTGGAGTCTCTGCTTAAGAGAGCGAAAATGCTGAACTTGACTCCCTGCGTAGGACGCTCTTCTCCCGCTCATTAGAAGCGCTCGTGAGGGCGGGAGGGAGCGCGTGCCCGGAGGAAACGCTCATCTCCACACCCACGTGCTCTCATAGGGGCACCTTCACTTGCAACGCCTTTATATGCTCTAGGGGGCGCACGCTTTGCGCGTGATAAAAACAGCAAAACAGTTGCGTGACCAGAGGAGAATTACCTCTCTGTAATGTCTTCCGGGTTTCTCAAACTCTAGAGGGCGCTCCCGAGATGGAGCATTTGAGCAAAATCATAGTTTATAAATGCTTAAACATTTTTAAGATAAAACAATACAATCATTTCCGGAACACAGAACAGCATAAAGCGTTAACACCGCTGTTATATTTTAGAGCTTTAGAACTCAGGAGTTTAAAATGGCGCCTCATGACATCAGTGAGCGCGAACAGCCAATGAGCTGCTCCGCTCGCCAATCAATCAGCACTCAGTAGCAGTAATGTTAGTGTCCTGCTGCCCAAAAGCTGTTTGCTGTAGAAAAAGGAAACATACAGCTGAGTTTTCTTTTTTACTTTTAAAATGAAATACATCCTTCTACTTTCTAAAATTAAAGGAAAGTTCTGGGCGAGTGATTAGAAACTATTTTAACTTTTCGTTTTTAGCCGTTTAGCTCCATTAACTCCCATTCATTGAGGACTCGCTCGCGGGCGCCCTCTGGTGTTTTGTAGTCATGTTTTTGATAAAACGAGGAAAATAGGAAGAGGCCGGGTTCCTCATAAACCGGCTCTCATGTGGCTAGGATTTTATGGGGCCCCAGTGCAGAAAACAGGCTGCATCTCAAATGGCTCCTTACTCCCTATATAGTAGTGCACTATGTAGGTCGTGTAATAATGTCTTTTATACCCAAATAGAGCATTATATACCAATCAGCCATAACATTAAAACCTGTTTCTACACTCATCCATTTTATCAGCTCCACTTACCATACAGGAGCACTTTGTAGTTCTACAGTTACAGATTGTAGTCCATCTGTTTCTCTGCATACTTTGTTAGCCCCCTTTTACCCTGTTCTTCAGGACTACCACAGAGCAGGTACTATTTGGGTGGTGGATCATGGTGTGTTAGTGTGTGTTGAGTGGATCAGACACAGCAGTGCTGCTGGACTGAGAACCAAAAATATCCTGCCAACAGCGTCCTGTGACGACTGATGGTCTAGAGGATGACCAACACTACTGGGGTGTAGAAGACATAATTCCATGACCAATGCAGGGCACAAAATAGGAAGTAGGGAGCCATTTGAGATTGCCTCCTCTCCCATAATAGAACATTCCCTATACAAGAATCACTTCAAATCAATATAAATTACAATGTGCATTGCTTCTTTCAACTAGCATCTGATGCTAACTTAAATATGTACCATAATTAGCTTAATTAATTTACGTAAAAAGCTACTTAGCTTACTAAGACTTAGCTAGCTAAGGCCGATTGAAAAATCCACTGCCCGCTCCTCCTTTTGTGCTGTGAGTGGACACAATATAGGTGTGACAACTTCCAAGATTAAGTTGGTGAGCGCATGTTATACAAACATGTCTTATCTTGAATATCTGCAGATTTTGCTGTGTACATTTAGCAATGCTAATGTGTCTTTTACTTGCTTGTCATATTTGCACAAAATTAGTGCACTATTAGGCCTACATCTGTGTAAAATGTGTATTGTGTGGCAATTATCTAAATTAAATTTAATATTAAGGTTGCTAAAACAAGAAAAAAGCCATGTTACCGCTTTTCTCTCATTTCATCGGATTTTGGCTTACTGCTAATTATTTAATAGGCACTGCCAGACATTTCCGTCAGGACAGTCCCTTGTTGTCCAACTGCACTTCTCACAAAAACACTACAGCTGTTCACAGTGAAGGCTGCAATGTCAGGAAATGCAATTATACTGAAGCCAGGGGACTCGTTACACAAAAAACCAGGCCATCGCGTTGACTCATACGAGGTGGAAATGATAATGCAGGCACATGTGACGTGTAAAATTAAGTTACGGTTCAGCAGGCTTTGTGTAGCTAAATAAAAGGGTGTTCATCTCATTAAAATGTTGCAATGGCTTCAGTTCAAAGCAGAGGTGGGTATAGTTACAGTTTATGTGTGTGTATATGTGCTTAGCCTTTTCACATGATTAACAAACTTCTATTTATACTCAAAATGTTTGTGACAAAAGTGGTCTACCATATAGGACACATTTTTATCATTCACTTTGGCTTCCTCATTCCTTTTTGGGTTTAATTTCATTGTGTTCTGTTAGATGTACTAAGAAGTTCCACGGTAGTACTATTGGGAACTTTAGGAAGTTTAGGAGTCTTTTCGACAGTATTAACCTAATGGGCATTAGGGGCTCAGAGTCCCGGTCGCCAGGCTACTGCATAAATATCATTGCGAATGTTATAACAGTACTATTATTAGCAGCTACCATTAGTAAACTTTGGCTTACATGTATTGTTGCTGTTTTCATTTGCTTGGGCCTGTAAGAAACAAGAAGTCATAGTGTGTCTCATTTCTCATTTTGGAGTTTAATTGTCTGTTTTTCTGAGGACTTCACTGACACAGACTCAGCAGGAACTTCTTATCCAAATTTCTTGTGGTACAGGCCTGGACCAAGTGTAGGGGTTTGTTTACAGCTGCCTGACCAGCCACCATGGTGGAGAAGATATTCAGGTGAGAGTTGCTATATTAATTTCAAGGTGCGAAATACAGGGAGTTCCTGGGGATCCGGGACCCACTAATAAACCTCTCCTGGATTGCCTGAATGTATCGAAATAAAAACTCCAGGGGGCCCCTGAAAATGATTACGTTATGCTGAAAAATGTAAATTCAGGGAAAGGTTATTTAGCGTGCTTCACTCAGGAAACGGCGAGCCTCTGTCTCTGATCTTCTTAACTAACTAGAGCTGCAGCACTGCTCTGCCTCAGGGTGGCCTTCAAGGCCTAGTAACTGTAACT